CAAGTTCTAAGAAAACAAATGAAAGATCGATGGCACAGGACAAATTAAAAGTAGTTGAAGAGAAGAACGTCCGATCGAATGAAATGTGGAAAAGAATTACGTTGTTTAACGTAAGTAAATGGAGAAAATTAAACTTGATCAATGACCAAAAAATGAAATGACATAGGATTCTATGGAGGGGGGAGTATCACCGCTAAGAATACAAGAGCTTTAAGCTCATTATATGGAGCAATCCTAGTGTACCATCCTTTTTAAAGTTTTAAGGTTATCTCTTGTAGATTTATTTTAACGTTTTTTCTTAATTATGGTCAGCTAAATAATAACTCATAGAATATTAATTAGATGTTTTTGCTTCTAGTTTTCGCTTAAGACTTGTACGTTTTATTACCGTTAACACCTTACTTTTTAAAGTTTATTCATCAATTTGCAAGAAAGTTGGACTGCTTGCATACAACATAATATTGTGGTTCAACTGTGCTAGAAGCTTTGATCTGTCTTGAAAATTGACAAAACTACGTCCTACTAACACTTGAAGCTACAAAAAAAAAGATAATAAATCAATTTTAAAAAATTAATAAATAAATCATCATCATCCAGTGCCAGATCTGCGACAGACATCGGCGATCATGGTTCTCCGTTCATTCCTTTGCTCGGACGCTCTCAAAAAAGTTACATTTCCTTGATCTTTCCCTGTCACCCATTTGTTTAGATTCCCTAAGTATGTTGTTCTGGGCCTTCCCGTGCCTCGCTTGCCCTCAATTTTGCGAGTGAGAGCTAGGTGTTCAAGACCCGTATATCTATTTATGTTTCCCAAAAACTGCAATTGTCGTTTCCTGCTTGTTTTTAACATTGAGCGTCCCACGTGGGCTTCACCAAGCACTATCTCATTTGATTTCTATTCCTTCCATGATACTCTTAGCAGTCTCCTAAGAAACTACATTTCTGTAACTTCTATTTTATTTTCACTGTGTTTAGTGATTGTCCAGCATTCACAGCCATACAGAAGGGTTGACCAAACATAGCATTTCAGAACTTTCCTCTTGGTGTTCATGGAGATGTTTCTATTTTTCAGGATTGGGCACATTTGATTGAAACTAGCCTTAGCCATTGTAATTCTCAGTCTTATTTCTTTCGAACTTTTGGCATCAGATGTTATCATATATCCTAGATATTTAAACTGTGGGACTTGTTTGATCTTTTTACCTTTGCTAATGAGATTACAACTAGGCTTTGCTGCTTTTAGGATATTACCATGTATTTTGTTTTCTTTACTTTCAACAATAATCCTTTACGTTCACATTCTGTTACAACAGTATCTTGAAGCAATTGAAGGTCCTTTTCTGAGCCTGCTATCAAAACTGTGTCATCTGCATACCTGATGTTATTAATCTTTTCTCCATTTACTTTGAGACCTGGACATTCTTCTGTTTCTAAGGATTGTTTCACTGTACATGTTTAAGAGGTCTGGTGACATAGCACATCCTTGCCTCACTCCTCGCCTAATCTGCTTATATTCACTGTATTCTCCATTAATTCGTACAGCAGCGTTTTGGTCCCAATACAAATTCCTGATAATTCTTAGATCTTTTCCATCTATGCCTAGCTTTTCCAGTATTCTAAAGAGCTCATCATGTCTAACTTTATCGAACGCCTTTGAATAATCTATGAAGCATAAATACAGATCTTTCTGAGCTTCAATACATCTTTCCATTAACCTTGTTAAGGTGAATATACCATTAAATAAATAAATAAATAAATAGAAAAAATAGATAAATAAATAAATGAAACATAATAATGATAAAGGAAAAAGTGCTAGTTTTAGATGTTTGTTCGGATAACTATGTGAAAGATAATATCTAAATTATTCCTGTACAGTCTCCATGCATAGTCTTTATCATCTTGAGACAAAAACCATGAAAAACAGTCGATCTATGCTCATTTTCATATTTTTAAAAAGATAACTTTGCCCCCTCCCCCCCCCCCCCAACCCACACAAACATCCAAGCTTATTTAAGGAAATGTATTCAACATACATGATAAAATCTAATTCATTTTCTAAAAAATAGTTTTACTTTCACTGATTAAACGACTCACGTAGTCTAAAAAGCCGTATGCACTGCTCACCGCCGAACGCTCCGTATCCCGGACTCTAGCATGTAGATCATCAGGAGAGAATGCGTCGTTGTTTCGGGTTCTTCCTCTCTACAGCTTTTCTGACGCACCGAGCCCCCTCACCGATGTGAGGTCTCCATGTTAGTTCGACTGTTTTCCTCTGCTGCCAACTTTAGGATTCCATCCAGCCTGGGTCCTCTCGCTTCAACCAGATCTAGTGACTGGCTTTCTCTACTGTCTCCTGAAGGGAACTTGTGAGTTCGTTGCTTTTCTTGGCAGTAAGTCCTGCCACTCTCATCCACTTACGGGCGCTTGTTGCTACAAAACCTCAGCATCCTAGCACTGCCGGAAAATGGGTTGCCTTTCATCCTGCCTCCTCACATTGTTCGACGAGTGTCTCGTAACGGTTTTCTTTCAGCTCATGAGCGGCATAGATATTGTCCTCGTGGGGCACCGTGAGCTCTACCAAGTGCACCTCTTTGTCTTTTTCCTCCCATAACACAATGTCTGGCTTTTTCGTAGTTGGAATGGGGAAGAATCTCTCAAAGCCTTTTAAGTCAGCGGCTACCTCTCATGTGCCTCCGCTCTGGTCTTCCATGGCTTCGTTCGCTTTCTTTCTTTTGGTAACCTTGCTTCCTTGCGGAACGAACGCAATCTTGGTGGGTCCATGCTTCTGTATCCTGGGGGCATATTTTCCTTCTTCCACCTGTTTTGTCGCCATTGTCGTGAGCACTTTCAGCACCTCATTGTGCTTCCAGGTGTATCTGTTAAGAGCCAGGTTGCAGTTTGACAAAATATGCTTCATGGTTCCTAGCTTACCGCATTTACACTTGTTGTCCTCTTGTACCTTCCATCTGACAAGGTTCACCGGTGAAGGCAGAACCTCATACGTAGACCGGAGAAGAAAGCTTAGCCTTGATGTATTCCACTTCCAGATGTCACTCCACCCGACTTTTCTTTCTAATGGCATAAATTATTTTTAGGAATTTTTATAGACATTGACTCTTTTCTCGGGGATACTTCCCCAGCAGCGTCCCTTTCAACACTGCAAGTTTTTAAAGAAGTGTGGCCTCTGAAAGTAACGCCCATCTCCAATAGGACTGCGCCAAACGGTTGGAGATCCTTAAGAACTCAATAAAGCAAACAAATTCAAAACTCCACTTTGGGTTTTCGAACTAGAGCCATCCACTGCGTAGACCAGCAATGATATCAACATTACTAAGCAAAGGTGCGCTCTTCGATAAATGATCAGTATCAAGAAATAGACAAGAACCTCTCGCACAGACAGCAAATATTTGCATTCCTGGATCAAAGAGGAAAATGGGAAAAAAGGTTGCTCAAATTCAGACTGCACGAGATCAAATGGATTAGATATGCTGATTTTAAAAGTACTTAAGAAATATTTGCAAAGATAACACAGGAGCAAAACCGGTGATGAAGAAAGAAAGAAATGGGCCACTAATTCCGAAATAAGAAATGCAATCCGCCATTAAGAAAAAAAAGAGGGGGGGGAGAAGGAAAAGCTACAGGGCCAGATAATATCCCATTATGTTATTGTCATATGAGCACACGGGACACAGTAAACAATTTAGTAAACATTTTCAGTTGGTAGAAGATTTTGAATTTTTTCTATGTGGCGGCCGAAGCCTACTCTTAAAGATTTCACACCACCATTGGACCTTGTTGTAGTCTTGTAGCTAGCTGGTATCAGGAAACTTGTAAAACCAAACTTGAACATCAATTAGGAACCCAGGAGTTTCATCTTGGGCCAATCATAGAAAGGTAGTTTATTCATGATCAATAAGTAAAAGGAACAATATCTACACAATGTGTTAGATTATTTATAAGATACAGAATACATGCTTTCATTAAAAATTGACACTCACACGTTTCAGTCATTCTCACATAGAATAATACAACACCAGCCTATTAGTAAACGGTGGCAAAGAATATGAAATACTAAAATGACATATTATGATATGAAAATGACATAATAAACAACATGAAAGTGTTTCTACAAAGGGGAACAACTTAATAGCCAATGTCCTGCTAAGGGAATGAACCACGAGCGGGTTCAATTATTTCCCTTACATAACAGATCTTTAACGTGTGCAACTTGCACACAGGACATTCGAGATTTTTCGACCTTATCCGAGAAGGATAGGTGTAGATCTTTCCTACCAGAAGATCAGAGATGTGGCTTAAAGACAGCAGCAAGAGGGAGCCCAGGAGAAGCCGTAGAAAGGCTGCTGTAAGTCAGATGCCCAGAGAAGGGGGCAAACGAGGTGAGGGGATGGGGGCAGAAAGTGGAGACGAAGGCAGTCGACAGATCATTGCTAGACAGCAGGAAAGGGGGTGAAAGGAGACAATTTCAGAGAAGAAAATCTTTGCGTCGCTACCCGGATACGAACCATGGACCTTAGAATGAGAGGTGAACACCTTAACCTCTAGGCCACCAGAGCCCAGCCGCCCCCGCCCCCCAAGTCGTTATTTATTCATTTATTCATTAATGTATTTATTTATTTATCCGTATATATATATAGACTTCAACATAATAATTAAGGACCACTTGCAAATTTGGGTAAAATTCCCCAAGGATTTCCGTGCTGCACGTTGTTGGTTTTTTAAAACTCTTTTGGGAAGCTTTGGAGTACGTATTGTTAACCCATTAACACTTTTGGAGGGAAAAAAATTTGAAAAATTCCTTGCTGTCTTATTTTCGGATTTTTACATATCAGGGATGTCGGTCAAGGTGGCCCTTAACTAATGTTGAAATCTGTATGATGTATTTGTTTGTCTATGTATTTATGCATGCACTTATTCATTCATTTATCTACTCTGTATTTGTGCATTATTTATTTATGCATTTATGTACTTTTTGTCTGTAGGAGAGAACCAAAGACCTGGACACGGAGAGGAAAAGAAGCGAGACGCTGCTGTTTGAGCTACTGCCCGTGTCTGTGGCACAGCGGCTTCTGAACCACGAGAACGTCCCACCCGTGTCCTACCCGGCCGTCACCATCTTCTTCTCGGACATGGTGGGATTCACAGCCATCTGCAGCCGCAGCACACCCATGCAGGTCAGACTTATGTGCAGAATAATAATATATCATAATACCTAGGGCAGATCAGTATCCATAATAATATAGCCACAAGTCGTGCGTCGGTGGCCTAGTGGTTAGGCTCTCGGACTCGCAACCGTAAGGTCGTGGGTTCGAATCCCGTCAAGGGCCCGACGCTGTGTCCTTGGGAAAGGCACTTTACACGAATTTTCCTCACTTCACCCAGGTGGGAATGGGTACCCGGCTATAGACAGCGAACGATCTTGTCAGTTTGTTAGTGTTTGAGCGCTTAATCGGCTGCTCGCACTGTATGCTTCCCGGGAAGCTGAGAATGTTTCGGAGTGTTCTATGGTCTGCTGGGGTAATAATATAGTGTAAAGCGCATAGAGCCTGCTGCTGAGCGGGGATGTGCGCTATACAAATGCTATCTATTATTTGGCTGATAACATTTATTTAATCGATTTAAATTATTTAAATTAAAATTAAAATTTAATTTTGATATCAATTTAAAACATAGTGGAAGACAAATGGTGTTAGTATATGTGTCATGACGCAGTGGAACCAGTCTGCCGTCAATTTTTGGGACATGTGGAGTTTTGGTATCATCTTAAAACTTGTTTATTTGTTTACATTTCGATGGAAAAAAAACTACCCATTTGATCTTGAATAGAACTTGAGATATTTGCGATTGAAGGAGACGGAGTCGCCTGGCTTCATAAGTAAAATTAGGGAGAAAATGGCCTTCGAAGTTTGATGACTTCCAAAGCTTGAGAATTCTTTGAAACAGTAACTGTTCATGTTCTGTGCCTTTATTCAACGATTTTGAGCAACTTTCATATAGAAATGTATTTTTAAATGGTTATAAAACGTGTTGAGCCAAAACTGAAAATTCTTAAAAAATTGCCCAACGTCCAGATAAATTCTGGTTATTTGATTTCATTGTTTTGACGAACGCCTGATTTCACCACTCTGACTCCCATATTGTTATGATGGTGGTGGTTGTCATAATGAAGACGATGATGATGCTGATGATGATGATGATGATGATGATAATGATGATGATGATGATGATGATGATGATGAATATTTTGGTGGGTGGTGGTGGTGGTATGTGACCCGGGAAGCCGAGAGTGTTTCTACAAGTTCTAGGATCTGCTGGGGTAATGGTTGTTGTATCGCACATTGATACATGCTGTAGAGAATGAATCTGCTCTATATAAATTATGCAATTATCCCCACCATCATTAAAAAGTTGCGATTACTAAAATTTGTTTATTATGTTTAATTGGTGTTTACAAAATCGTTTTATGTCTCCTGGTTGTAGGGCTTCTTTGGGGAACGTTATAAAAAAAAGAACACGACGAAGGCGCCATATAGCCCAAAGCGTTTGATAAGTCAGTGGGCGCAGGAAAAAATAAGGAAAGTACAGTAAATGTAATATCATACCTAGGGCAGAGCAGTATCTTTAACAAGGCAGCCACAGAACGTGGTTAGCTGGGAAATAATTAAAGACAGGTGGTGTTTGTATATGTGTTTGAGTGTGTTTGTGTGTGTGTGTGTGTGTGTGTGTGTGTGTGTGTGTATGTGTGTGTGTGTATTTGTATGTTTGTGTGTGTGTGTGTGTTTGTGTGCGCAGGGTGAAATAGCAGAAGTACAGTGGGCATATTTTTATACCTTGGTCAGAGCAGTATGTATAATCGTAGTTCCACATCCAAATGTGGAGTTTCTCAAGTTTAGGTTAGTCTCTTTGGGGGTTTTCAACTATCTCAATACGCTGAAGCTGCGAATTGAAAATTCCACAGTAGCCAAAGCTGTTAACTCTTTAAGGTTGTAGCGGACATAACGCTACGTTGGAATTAAACAAAGATCTTTATGACGTTCTCGGACGTTTTGAGTTACTGAGGCCATGAGAGAAGAAAACAAATGCTCCTATGTTCTAACAGAGTCGAATGATTATTTTGATTCGTTATCAAGATATTCGAAGAATTGCATTCGAAGAAGCTTGACATGTGAAGCTTAACTTTTTTTAACGTCAGATTTTTTTCAAAACTGTGTACTGAGCAGATAGGACTTTGTAATTCTAGGATAACGGAATGTCCGATCCGCAACAGACCGAAGACAATGTTGCGTCACATTTAGAACCATCATAATATTATTCCAGTCCGCTCTCTGAATGTGCATATCCGTTTCATATCGTATATGTGCTATTTTAATTTGCTGATAGTTATCTTTCTTTTTGCGAGTGCCGCAATACAACGCGTCTTCAGGAGGTGTCGAATAACCAAACTTCTCGTCTTCAGTGAGTGAAAATGTTGGGGACCATCATCTCAAAAGGTGAAATGAGAAGGGATCATCAGACTACTTTTTATTCTCGAGGGCATTACAGTTCACACTTGAAGATCGGCATCTATTACAAACTAATGGGGCGTCCCTCGAAGTTTCTCAGTTTGCCTTTTCAGCTTCTCCTGTTGTCTTAATAGGGAGTGGGTCATGAAACACAGTTGGATAGTCTGTTGGAAGGTTACTGGATATTCTAATAGCCTTTTTTTTCTTGTTAAAGACGTTCGTGAACAGATTTTAAGTTTGCCACATGTGGTTTTTTAAAGGATGTTCTTTCTTCTATGATTAGCTCGTCCTTCGACTGAAAGACACGAGTCCTGGATTTCCGAAATGTACCTCGACCTCCTGCCTTTTTTTGTTTTCTAGTTTTCTTAATCTACTTTTCTTAAGTTATCGCGTTTAGTTATCTGAAAACTTTATGCCCAGTTAGTCTCCTCTTATCACAGTCTTGTGCAAGCCCTTACCAGTTCTATGCGTCATTGCTGCATGATTGTATTGTGTGTTTGTAGCGGTACTTGAAACGCAAATCTGATCTTCCTTTTCTTCTCTTCCTTTCAAATGGTACTTGTTTTGGTATGCGATTGTCATCCATTCTGCTCACATACCTTAGCCATTGAAATATTTTTAATTGGCTGATACGACTGCGTAAGAACGGGGTAATGAGGAGAGAGGGAGGGAGAGAGAGAGAGACAGACACACAGAGAGAGAGAGAGAGAGAGAGAGAGAGAGAGAGAGAGACAGAGAGACAGAGACAGAGACAGAGACAGAGAGAGAGACAGACAGAGACAGAGACAGAGAGAACGAGAACAAAAGAAAACGAAGATTCTTTTTAATGCGATAAATAAAACAATAAGAGCGAAGTTGGTTTAAGAAATGGGGATTTGGAACAATTAAGAAGAAGGGGGAAGGAGGGAAAATTAGGGAAAATGAAACAGGAGAAAAGGGAAGAGGGGAATGAGGGTTGTGGGAAGAACGTAGGGAAAAAAAGAAGAAACAAAAAAGTAGTAGTAGTAGTAGTAGTAGTAGTAGTAGTAGTAGTAGTAGTAGTAGTAGTAGTAGTAGTAGTAGTAGTAGTAGTAGTAGTAGTAGTAT